TAAGAACATTTGCTGAAATGATACCACCTCACTACAGCAGCTGAATCTCTCTGCAAAGGAGGGGTGGGAAGTGGGAGAAGCTGGCTTAACCTTAGAACAGAGAGGAAAGCCAGTTCCTCAGTAATAGGCAATAGCCTACTTGTCTATGGAAGCTGCAAAAGGACATAGTTTTCAATGGTTTTCATGTGCACAGTTAAAAGAAAGGTTTAATATGGATAAAAAGACTCTCTGAATTGAAAAGCAAAAAGCAATTTGAAATGGAATTATGTAAAATGGTGAACATGTAATAACAAAAATGTATAAACTTTTGTTAAGATTTGAAACAGAAGAACAGATTAAAGACTGCATGACAAAATGGGCTATTAGATTTGGATATAACTGAGATGAACACTTGGGAGAGACGGTGGGTAATTTATTACATTGCATAATTGTTGCTGGTATATGACACCAGATGAATTTTTAAAAAATGCATAAAGGCATTTCAAACCAGTGCTGGAAATGTAAAATGTATGAGGGAACATTTTATCATGGTGGACTTGTGAAAATGCTAAGAAATTTTGGATACAAATTCACACCTGATACAAAGACTTAGAGACCAACAGTGCAAAGAAACTAGAATTCTTTTTATTGAGACTTGAGAACAATGAATGAGAAAAGATTCGTGATAGACTGATTTTTCTATTTCTTTTTCATTTCTTGTACTTTTCTCTTTCAGTTCCTTTGTTTCCTTTTTTTTCTTTTGATTAACCTTTTATTCTCTGGCCACCTTCACATTTAGTAGGTCTTCAGGGTTGCAAGTGGGAAAATTCATGTCATTTAAGACAGGGGTCGCCAACCTTTTGGACCTCAGGGACCACCAAACTCATACTTTTAAATCCCAAGGACCACTAATACAATTTTTTAAAAAAAGATAATATATTTAATGTTGTGGCCCTGGCTCCCGAGCCTATGCTGTCAGAGGAAGAGGACCTGGAAGATGAGGGGGAGGAACTGGCAATGCCTTCCTCCCTAGCACCTTCCTCCCTGGCAATGCCTTCCTCCCTGGTAATGCCTCAGGTTCCATCAGACAACCGAGAGGAACAGCCTGAGATGAATCAGGAGGAAGGCATGTCGGAGGAGTCCCTGACAGGGAGTGAAGAGTAGTAGTCTTGGCTTGACCCCAAGCAGCGTCGTAGGGAGAAACACGAGCAGCAACGTAGGAGGTATGGGAGGGTCAGAGAGTGAGCTGAGTCACTGAGCCACACCCCACAGGGGATAAAATTGGGTGTGCTTTTTCCTTAAACTTTGTACGGGACAAAGTTTAACTTACTTTAGACTTTATTCGTGACTATGTTGAAAGAACGATTGTTTCGTGAACTGCCTTGTGCTTTGTGAAGTAAAAGACCCACTTCCCTCTGTGTGAGTAAGACTTTGATTTACAATTGTTGCCAGCTCGGACTTGGTAGGCAAGACGTAGTGGGATGCCAAGAATGTTATCAGTTACAGAGGATTTGCTCTGCAAAGTTCGAGCCAGCTTGCCTGTCTGTGTTTGTGTGTGTGTATAATCCCTTACCTTTCGGGGTAAAGGGAAGGGGAGACAGAACAATTTAATATATTTTTATACTATTAAGTATATATATACATATACATATACATACATACACACACACACACACACACACACACACACACACATATATATATATAAAATCATAACTGTGGGATAGAACAAAGGGAAGGAGGAGCCTCCCTCACCTTTTGTGGGGGAAAGAGGGAGGATTTAAGAAGCCACATGGTGCCTGGAGGCTGGGAAGATCTGGACGGGAAGGGACTGGCTCCCCCTCAAACGGAAGCAGAGCCATCTCATATCTCCCCCAAATCAGAGGAAACCTGTCCCTCGTTTGCCAGGTGTGGCTGCCTGGAGCTGGGGAAAGGAAGGAGGGCCGGGCTGGAATCGTTGATGAAGACAGGCTCCTAATAACCAGGCAACACCCTCCCCCTTCGGCCTCCACATAAGAAGAGGACTCCCTGAGGCTAAGCTACAGATTTCTCCCACCACTTCCAAGAAGAGAAGGGTCCCTCCCTGTGTGGAGGCCGAAGGGGCGGGGGGTCGAGCCCAGAAAAGCTCGAGCTCTCACCTGCACAAACAGGCTGGTTATTAGGAGCCTGTCTTCCTCAGCGCTCTTTTGATCTGTGCATTTGGTCTCTCCCCTCACCCCATGCCAAAGGAAAGCCAGATGGGCTTCTCCTTCCCTCCTACCCTTCCCCCTAGCTCCTTTCCCCCCACTCAATCCTACTTCAGGACAGAGGAGAGCGTTCTGGAAATGTGTGTTGGCATTTCCAACACTTCTTTCCCCAGCACTCGCCCACAATTCTTCACGTTCCTCTAGGCCTGGCTTGCTGAGGGGGGAGAGCAGCCCTGATGTCTCTGCTGCCCCCCCAGGAAAAGAAAGCGAGCAGAAACATAGCTCTCACTGGGGTGAAAGAGCAGAGATCGGAAGGCACAGGTAACAGAAAGTGGCGCTTTTCAAAGGCATCACCTTCCATCTTCTCTTGCCTGTGCCTTCCTCAATCTCAGCTCTTTCATCCCAGAGAGAGCTATGTTTCTGCTCGCTTTTCCTGTGATTTCCCCAGGCAGCGATGTCCCCAGAGTGCCGAGAGGGACGAGGAAACTGACAAGGCTGACAACGCCCCATTCTGGACCTCAGAACTGGATGGTAAGTGCAAACTTGCTCACTCCACCCCCTCCCACCACCAGCAGCTGGTACTTTTCCTGCCCTGGGCCATCCTGTGGCCATCAAGGAATAGCCCAGGCCAGGAGAGGCAAACTAGAAGGTGGGGGAGTACCACACAAATGCAATTAGTGTAGCGCTGCTGCACCTTACGGCCATCTCCACTTCAGCCCGCCTGTGCCGCCAGCCCCCTCTTGTTGCAACAGCATCATTACCTTGTCCGTGCTGGCAAAGGCTGTGCTGCTTTTTGCAGGTTTGTGTTCGGCCGAAATATGGGGGCCAGCGGGTAGGCGGACCATAATCCGGGGCGCAGCCTGGATTAATTGCTTTGGGGGGGACATTTCTCTGAGGCCCACCAAAATTTTCTCACGGACCACCGGTGGGCTGCCGCCCACCGGTTGGCGACCACTAATTTAAGATACACTGCAGTCAGAAATAAATCATCTCAGCTGTTGAACACAAACAATTGTGTGCACACTTTACATGGAGTGCAGAATGGTTCCCACTGGAAATTCTCTTAGTTCACAGACTATGCTAAGTAGTGACTGATTTAACTTTACCAGACATAGAAAGATTTGTTCTGAATAAATAAAAGCCATTAGAGTAACATCTTTAACATTAATTTTATTAGCAGCTTGCCATGTACCTTTAAAGTTACAAAGCCTATTTCTCCAGCAGAAGCAAATTTGAAGATCTCTTCCACAATTCTGTCTTTGTCTGTCAGTTCTCAACATCAGAAAGATCAGTGGCTTTTCTAGGGACAGATCTAAGGCACGGGTCAAAAAACAATAATGATAAAAACTACTATTTTAACCAAGAATCCCCAAATATATTCAGTTTCTCTTAAATATCAATAAAGGAGCCTTTTCCTTATAAGCTCTGGGTCACTTTGCCATAATACTGAGTTACAAGTTAGGTCCAGATGGGAGGCACAATACAGTAGTATGGCTTTTAAGTATGTGACATATGAAAAGAATTATCTCATTTCTTTCAAATGCACATTTATTTCTCTACTTATGATAGGGAATGTGAGCAGGCTGTAATATTTTTTTTTCTTGCCTGAAAACAAAACTATTTGAAGCAACTCAACTTCAAGGTGGGAATTGGAGACTACTACAGTAGTTGATAATTTCTCACATTTTTCATATTTTAAAGTGCTAATTTTACATTATTTACCTAAAAGCATTTTAGTACAACAAACCCATGTTTATAGTGGGGCAAACCCAAGAGTTCCTCAAAATGTTACAGCTCCTCACCATACAAATAATCTGTGTAACAGCCTTGCAAGAATCAACTGAAAATGTTTGTGAAGAATTATCTTCTTTAAGGGTCTAGAATTTACTCCATATGCAAAAATAAAAATGCAATGTAAAATATTAAAACTACATAATTTTAGAGCAATGTGCACTGTTACTGCAATGGCAATATTCCTTAAATATATCAGGCATTTCCTTTCGATTAATATAGAAGAACAGAATCTTTGGGAAGGGAGGTATTGTTGACCTTTATTCCTGAGTTTTATGAAAAGAAAAGTCTGTTCCTAACTAGACATTTCTAGCCACAATAGGTGTGTATAGTCCTTCTTGGATAAAGAAAGACATGTCAACTAGGAACAGAAGCAAGACACAATATTAATTCTCTCCTTAAAAATAACATTTTTGCACCATAACTTTCTTCCCAAACCCAGTCTAAAGGATAACTTCCAATGTTCCCAGCCAACAAAGACCCTGGTCATACTGGTGGGAGATGAAGGAAACTTACACTAACACCTATCAGAGAGCTTAAGTACAAAAAGCAAATACTGACAGATGATGCAGAAGGAGGACAGAATTCCTTCAATGCACATTTGGAACTTCACAGGAGAGCAGGGTTACTGGAGCAGTAATTGGGAATGAAAATAATGTAGGAAAGTTTAAGCATCAAAATAGTTCCTGTTGCCTACATTGGAAGTCTCTCTTATATGTGTTTAATTAGTACTGGTTGCTATGCCCTTAAGTTGCTGCATTTAATTTGTTATTATATTACTAACTCAGGGAAAATTCTGTCAATATGCTGCCCAGTCAACTCAGCACATTTTGTTAGCTTTAATTTTTTAAAAAAATATTCTGGTGTAAGGGAACACTTTTGGAATAAAAGAAACACGTCAATACCATAAAATAACAGAAATCTAAAGAGCTTTGGCCAAAATAACTCTTCCGGGTTTCCTTTTAGTTATAAATTAACTGGTCTTCCCCAAAGTACTCTCTAACACTTTACTCTCACAGCAAAGAAATCCTGACTGAGGCAAAACTTGGAGAGACAACAGTCTTCTGTCACAACCAGCAAAACGAAGCAGGGCCTTTCATGAGTCACGTTTCAAAAGTGGTCAGCTCCTGCCAGTCTGTTTCGCTTTCACACTTGCCCCGTCTTTTGAAAAATGTCTTGATCTGCCTCTGCGCTTCTTCTTTCACTGAAAACAGAAAGAGTGCCACCTGAGATAATGACATTCTTAATCACAGTTTATTTATCACACCTCTCATTAATTACCAAATGCAAATTGTGCCTTTTGGCTCAAACGGCATTTGCAAAATACAGTCAACAGTACATGGTAGGACACAGAATGTGGTGAGAATAACGTTAAGAATAGAATTCTTTATAGGCCAAATGTGATTGGACACCAAAGAATTTGTCTTTGGTGCACAAGTTCTCAGCATACATACAAGCAATAAGTGATAAATCATGATTATAGACATTATAAAAATACATTCATTATAAATTATAAGGTACAACACTTACTGAGTCATAGGATACTAAATAAGCAATCAACAAAAATCATACTAGGAAATGAATTGAAACAATATAAATTGTAAAGTTACAAGCAACAAAGTTATAGTCATAAGTAGAAAGGGAGATAGGTAATAGGAAAGATGACAATAATAATAGTAATACAGTCTTACTAAATAGTTTGACAGTGTTGTGGGAATTAGTTGTTTAGCAGAGTTATGGCAATGGGAGGAAAATGTCCTTGTATCTAGTTATTCTGGTGTGCAATGCTCTATAGCGTCGTTTTGAGGGTAGAAGTTGAAACAATTTATATCCAGGATATGAGGGGCTAATAAATAAATAAATGAATAAAAGTGAGCTAATGGTGAGCAAGGAAAATGTGCAGAAAACAATCTCCAATTACTGAAAGTCATATATATCTCCAATTCCTATACTTTATCAACAACACAAACATTTTCAAACATTTCCATTATATCAAAAATACTACAAGCTTAACTATACCCTATCTCCCCCATACCAAAACAAGGAGCTGAAAATTAGAGATCTCTACAAGTCAACCATTTTGCCAAATATGAGGGACAAAGCACAAGACATTCCTTCACTCCATCCTTTATTTGGCAACTCACCTGTTTTGCGGAAACTACTTTTATCTGCAGCCAACAAATGAGAGAGGTGTCGAGCAAATCCCTTGAACAAATCCTGCCAGGTAAGAGATAAGGGAGCAGAATAAGCATCATGGAATGCAATTCCCTCATTAATATCTAACTCTTGTGCTTCTATACAAGACAAAGTAATTGATGCCCAACTGGGCAGCCTCGTAATTAAGGTGCTCTGTTTATCATACAATAGGGAACATGGTATCTTGTGATTCAAATAGGTGCCTGGGCAAACAATTAGACATCACAAGTCAGCCAAGGCTGTGAAACTAAAATAAATTCCATGTTCTGCTAGATCAGGGATGGGCAATTAATCTTCCCAAGGGCCCACATGAGAAACTGAGACTGTGGTGAAGAGCCGAACTGATCTGATGTCCTCAAATCACTTCAATGCCTCCGGTTGCTTCATTTAAGGGGCGAGTACAATGCAGGAGCCGAAAAGTGCTACGTCTCCCCACCCCTCCTACCCCACTACACCTGTCAATTGACTGAAGGAGCGAGCGCAGGGCAACTGCACAGAGTTGAACCCGACTTAGCTTTGTCTCCTGCTTATTTACATTTGATTTCTAAGTTCCAACTGACCTCATGCGGGCTGGACGGGGACAGCCAAAAGCCGAAGGTGGCCCAGAGGCCATAAAAGGCCCAGGCCTGAATTAGATGCTTGTATTATAATGACCAGTATAAGGGTATAATAGTATTAGATCCAGGGATCTACAAGGGATTTGGATTTTTTAATTTTGAGAATCTGTCTTATACAATGACTCCCCTTAATGAGGTAGCCAGAAGGCACACTGGGAAGTTGCTCCTTGCCAATCACTCAAACTTTCAGTGTTTTCTACCACATGTTTTATCTTTGCCTTGTTCTCTTGAGGAGTTAGGTATATCTAAAAAGCACAGGGTTGTCACCTGCCATTGTTATTTTCTAAGAATTATACTAGACCCTAGAAGCATTACTGGAAATAAAACAGATGCTTGATATTGGTGGTTTGCTTTGATCCATGCTAGATAGGGTCTGGTATGTGCTAAGGGAGGTATCACTAGATATATCAGTATTTTGCATATTTTAAATGAATAAGCAAGCAATAAATAGGTTGTTCCCTATCCAATAGATTGTGCTGAAGTAATCTGGGCCGACTCCAACTCATAGAAGCCTTTACTGGACATACTGCAGTATACTCTTTATCCTTGTGGTAGAGTAGCAAGTATAGAATTCAACATTTTTGTCCTGGTAAGAAAGCAAAGTAGCTCTAGTGATGTTACCATTCTGATTAAATGCACAATCACCTGTAAGTGAGATCAGAAGAACAGCTGAACTGATAAGAGAGGTTCATGCAGACATCAATGTCTTGAAGAGGAATAAACTGCTGACTTACATGCATATTCCTCAATGAATGAAAACGACAACTGAGAAGGCGCTTCCAGGCAGTGGGCTTCTACGTGATGTGCAAAACATTATTTGGTGAAAGGCTCCGGCTTTGAAGTGGGCTGTTCAACCATGGAATGGGAGTCGCAACAAGACACTCAAGAGCAGAGGTGTCAAACTCATGTCGTCATATGATGTATCGAGACTTTTTTCCCATTCGCTAAACCGGGAACGGGCGTGGACAGCGCATGACGCAGCTGGCCCGTGGGCCATGAAGTTTGACAGCTCTGCTCAAGAGGGTTTCAATTTGTTAAACTGCTTATTTGGAGAAGCCCATTTTGAGGTCAGATTAGTTCTGGGTCACATGAAATGTTTTGTTCTAGGGTGGAACCTTTTGTGATGTCACAATTTGCATGTCCCTACTTACTATTACTTACCTATCCCGAAACGCTGCTGCTATTTTACATTATTCCCCTTGAATGTGTTTTGTTAGTAGTTGATGGAAGTAATGGGGAAAGACGGAAAAATTATAAATGGAGGACAGTGCTGTCTGCTCATAAAGAAAGCAAGTTAAATACATGCAATTGTTTGAAAGTACTGTGCTTATTTCACTGGAATACAGTGGCAGGAAAATAATAATAATAATCTTAGCTCTATCCAGCACTGACCCATCCCCATCCTATAGGACAAAGAGTCAGATGACACGACTGTGGAAATTATATTTCCCATGCATTTCCTTAGATAGCGTCTGCAACAGCATTTCATACCTAACTTTTGTGTCACCATGGAGGCTTTAACTGATCGGGAAACATAAATCAAACAGAGGAGGAGGAGGGGGAGGGAATTAAATACTTCATAACCCACCTTAGATGCAAATTTCCCACTTTTGTAGAAAGGAGTCAAATATTTTACAACAATATTTGCTGTTTCCTTAAGCGACAATGTTTTAGAATGTGGCTGGATGGCTCTCGTGGTCCCTTCTTTATCATCCTGTGATAAATTTGGGTCAAAAGTGACTTTCTTTTTTGCCAGCCTATCAGCTTTCCCCTCTGACTGTGACAAAATGGAGGACTTGTTCATCATCCGTAGCCTCTTTTCAGCAGGGCTTTCCAGGTCCTGGAAAGGCAGAAACAGAAATCCTTTAAAGCAACTTTACATGGCTAAACCTAAGCAGCCTTCCAGAAATACAAGAAACACATGTTTTTTGTCTATATGATTTACAACTTAACCCTCAACATTGCATGCGTCAAGAGATGATAATGGGATCTGATTTCTTAATTCGAGAAGCAGAAGGAAAAAAAACCACCTTATTTCTTTTTTGTATCTTTACTAAAGTTTGAAAGAAAAAAAGATGGAAAATAGCAAGAACTAATTCAGTATTTAAAATAAAGAGGGGGGGGATGAGAAAAAGACAAAAGGCAAAAGTGCAAAAAAAAAGTTATAAAAATGTTAAAAGGTCAAGGTTCCCCTTGCACATACATGCTAGTCGTTTGCAGCGGTCATGCCCCTGGTGGAGACTGACTCTGAGCAGTCAGAGGAGGACCCAGGCCCATCCCCTGTCCATCCTAGGGCATGCAGGGAGGAGAGGATCAGGGTAAAACGTGGTCTACTCGGGGGGGAGAGGGCCATGATCCTCTTCATGGGTTGCAGGTGTGAGACCTGCATGAGAGTTTGGACCTGCTTGCTAACAGACGCTGGAGACAATTTAGTGTTTTATTCCTAAAGGAGGTTTATCTTGGTTGGTGTTCTTCCAACGGACTGTCCCTGGTTATCTTCTTGAAGTTGGCAATTATCTATCGTGGTCTGTCGTGGAACTTTATTCAATGAGGTTTGTTTTTGGGTTTTGCTTCGTTATCAGCTCTTTGAATTTGAACTGTTTCTTTCCTTTGAAAAGTTATTTTGAAAATAGTTTACTCCTCCACTGTGAACAATTAAACAGTGAAGCCAAGTTGAAGGCATTAAAGGACTTTTAGTTAGGTTTTGGGTTTTGTTATATATATTTCTGATATACTCTGGGTCATCACAACAGCTTTAGAGGGCAGTGCTCATCTCCATTACAAAGCCAAAGAGCTGTCTGAAGATGTCTCTGTGGTCATGTGGCTGGCATGACTAAATGCTGAAGGCGCACGGAATGTTGTTACCTTCCCATCAAAGTGATCCCTACTTTTCTACTTGCATTTTTACCTGCTTTCGAATTGCTAGGTTGGCAGAAGCTGGGACAAGTAACGGGAGCTCACTCCGTTACACTGCACTAAGGATTTGAACCACCAAACTGCTGATCTTTCTGACAGACAAGCTCAGCGTCTTAGCCACTGATTCACAGTGTCCCTATAAAAATGTTAAGTAATGCCATAATGACAGAGTAAAAATTGAATTTTCATTTGTACTTATCACAGTCGTAAAAGAAAATAGGAAGTCACTTCTTCTCAAACAAATAATTCCCATATGGAACAAGGTGTCTCTCCATAACAACTCATAATTCTGGAACTTTTAATTTTTAGTTTTAATTATTTAAAGGCACTAATGTACAACAGAACACATTTTAATGTTACTTAATGTTTTTGTTAATAACAACAAAAAATAAATATGGCAATAATCATACAGGGTATTTCACTAATTCTATACGGTTATGATAAGATTTCTTTTTCTTAATTGATCAGTCCAAACCAAATGACAGATCTAAAAAAAAAAAACCAGTAACACTGACAGATACAACAAGAAACAATATAAAATTTTGTGAAGCAGGTTAACAAAACAGTTTCTTTTTAAAATATCTAATATTTTCACTTAGTAATATATGAAGATTCATTATATAATTAATCAGGAAGGTCACTATCAAAAAAGTGTTAACAGCTTTTTTTAGTTTTAATTTCTTTTGGAAATAACTCAGTTATATCTTGTTAAATAACTTTTATAAACAAAAGGTACAATGGAAACCTCTTCAAGATAGAGACAGAAATTTGGCAGGCAGGCCCAACAAAACACAACAGAATATTCCTTTGTTATCTACATTTCTCAGTGAAGATGCATCATCATCTCAAAAGATATACACTCATCAAAGGAAATTATCATGACTTTTCTGAAGTCTTTTCTGAATCCTCCTTAATAGTCTGAAGCAAAGGATCAAACAGATAACCAGGAACACAAATTAACAAGCACAAAATCTTCAGTGCTAATCACATCTCTTCCTCTACTCTGTTTGACCCTTTGCTTTAATTTGGACCAGATAAAAGCAACAAGACTAACAAAGACTTTTTTGTCTACATATCTTCTAAGGCAAGATGTCATATTAGTCATTGCCCACATTCTGCTATTACATGATCAAAAGAGGACAATCTTTGTTCGAGAAAAGAAATGAATACTATTTACTCATTAAAAATAGGAACAGTCAAAAATAAACCAAAAGAAGGCCAGTTCCCAAATATGATGTTAACGCTGATTTGTGCATCACTAAAATACAATGCAATGAAACCAATATAGTGTTAGCATTAAATTCTAGAAGTAACCCACACAAAATCCTGTTTGTGTTAATAGCTATTTTTATTATTTTTCTGTCTGCTGTGTGTTTTATTTTCTGTATACGTATATATTATATACTCTTCTCTTTCCCCACTCACAGTCATGTACTTCAGATGCATGACCAATTAATTACATTAATTAATTAAGTCAGAAGCCTTAATGTCACTGTCATTTGGTGGTTAGCACTAGAGACAAATTCTATAAAGAAGAAACTGACTTCTCTTGGATGAAGCATCATGTATTTATCAATTTATTAAATTGCCACCTGAATCTTAGTTGGCCTCACTGCAAATGTCATTTGAAATTAGTTCAGGCAAACAGAAATCATCTCACTTGTTACTTCCTATTCACTCCTATATTCCTGTTATCAAATCTTGGGCCCATCCCTCTATATGCCTCTTTATCTCTCTCCCTCCCTCCCTTTCTCTCCTTCTCTCTCTCCCCCTCCCTCCCTCTCTCCCTCCCTTTGTGTGTATATATGGATGGATAGAGAGACAGGCAATTTTAATAAAATATAACTCACTTCAGCTGATCCTGGTCTTTTTCCATTAAGATATTCACAATCATTGGTTGTATCTTCTTCAACCAAAAATTCCGCCCTTCAAGAAAAAAAAAGTATAACAGATACATCTTGTAAGAACAATGTTACATCTTTATGGGGACAGAGGAAGACGTGCCTGAAATTAGCCTATACTTAGATCTCCAATATCTACATACTGAGCTATCCTTCTGCTCAATTTCAATCCAAATATAGATAAGGTTTAGCTTTTTCACCTTCAGGTGTACTCATACAACCTGTGTCAACTCTCAGGATGAGCAACATGCTTAAATTCAATTGCTTCTCCAATGTGATTACAACAATCTCAAATTTGACTGGAGAAACTATAGTTGAATCATTGCTTCTATTCAACTGCCCACTGTCTATCCTAACTTCAAAAAAAGTAATAACTGAGAGGCAAAGAAAAACATATCTCACTTTAGATTTTCAAAACTTGATCCTGAGTATGAGTACTCCCTCCCTAATCTTTGACTGCTCAAAGGCATATTTTCTATATTCTTGGATTCCTGCTCTTTTGGGGGGGATGAACTCGATAGTTCTTTAAAGACAGTAGCAGTTTCTGGAGGTTCAGCTTTCACGTCACAGGCTCTTCGGGAGGGAAACTGAGGCAGTTCATTGAGACAGTTGATGTTCTCTTCTGCCAAATCATTTTCTGAAGCCTTGACTTGACATCCTGCTTTGGGGATGGAGAAGAATTTGGAGATGTTCTGAGATTCTTTCCTAGCAGCTTCTGCCAACAGCAACTGCTTCTTAGTAGGTTTTCTCTTTTCAGGACTAATTGCTAAGGCGGTGACAGCCTCAGCAGTGTCATGCTGTTCTTTCTTTTCAGGGGATTCACCACCTTTTTTGCATATTTTGTTGGTTGCTTCCTCCTTATCGAGAATGTCATCCACATCCAAAGCCTTGGGACCACAGCTACTGTCCTCCTTCCAGTTTGAGTCCATTTCCTCTTTTATAACATTAATGTCATCTCCTTCCTTAGCAGATAGAACCTCTGAAGCAGACTGGAACATGCCAGACATCCTTCGAAATCCAATCCCCATTCTCTTGGGTTTGAACTTGGGGAAAGAGATGAAAAGTAGTTAGATTTCTAAATCATTTAAACTTGCCTAAGAAAATTTGAAATCAAAAGCACAATCATTTACGAACTTTTTTTTTTATTTCTAATGCATGCAGAGCTTCTAATACACTGCCTTCACAGGAAACATTTTTAAAAATTCAGGGAAATATTCAGAGATGAATCTGTCTTGAAAATAGCCCATGTTGAATTGTATCGCCCAGTCAAACATCAGGGCCACAGGGAAAGGTTTTGTATTTTGTATTAGGTCATTAGGTTTTAGAAAATTTGCCAAATTTCAATTTCAGGGGAATTATGGGTTTTGGATTTTGAATGCACTCTGTAAGTTATCCCATTTGGAGTATTTTGGTTCAAAAACTATTCCATATGATGCACAATTTTGGCCAGTTAAAGTTACACACAAACAAACAGGAGAATGTAATAGTAATATACTAGACAACATGTGATAGCTTTGTGTCATCCTTGCAGAGTTATTTCCTCCTTAGATTTCTCAATGCCTTCAACGAGAGAACTAATGTACTGCCTTCACTGGAAAAATTGGGATGCATTCAGAGACATGTATCTGCCTTGAAAATAGCCCATGTTGAAGTGTAGAGCGCAGACCAACAGGAAGCCCAGGAAATGTTTTATGACATTTTGTATTATGTCATACACTGTTTGATGTTAATTTTTATGTCATAAAATGTTGTATAAAATTTGCCAAATTTCCATTCTATGGGAATCATGGATCCCAGATTTTGGATGCATTCTAAAAGTTAGCCACTAACCTTATTCCAAAAAGTTTTGCCCTATGGTGTACCATTTTGGCCAGTTCAAGGTTATAAGAAAGAGAATTGTAGTAGTACATGGATAGATATTTTTCCTATATGGCAAATGTCTATGGAGATTCATCCAGATCATGGTTGTCCCAAAGGTGCTTTTTCAAGAGGCAACTGGAGTTCTTGTTTTTCTTTGAAGATGTTTTGCTTTTCGTCCAAGAAGCTTCAAAAGAGCTGAAGAAGCTTCTTGGATGAGAAGTGAAATATCTTCAAAGAAAAACCAGAAAGTCCAGTTGCCCCTTGAAAAAACACCTTTGGGGCTATATGGCAAGTATAACAAAGGGATTTCTGAAAACTCAAGGTAATTATGCATCAAACAAAATCTGTTGCAAAATCACCTACCCAATAATGAATTATAAACAAAAGGTTTATAGCACTTACAGTATTCACTTTGGATGCTTGACAGAAGACGTCATCATGTGTAGTAGTTGGTTCACCTTTCATCTTGGGATAGTCACTGATTCCCAAGTCTGGGAGAACGTACAATTCCCCATTTTTGGAAGCTTTGTTAATTTCTGTGACCTTTATTGAAAAAAGGGACAGAGTAAAGAGGGCTATCCAGAGGATTCTCTGTCTCCGGTACTGTATTGTGTTTGTTTCAATATACTAGTCCTCATTTAGTCTAAATAGTCACCAACATTGGAATTTCTACTGCTAACCGACACAGTCATAAAGCACAACATCAAGTCACTGCACCGCTTTGTGACCGAACATCTGGCACCTCTGGTTGCCATTATTAAGCAAATGGGTGTTAAGCAAGGACTTTACGTGGTCACTTCCTGTGACCTCCTGCTGACTCCCCCTATTGACTCTGCTTGTAGGAAGCCAGGAAAGAAGGTTGCACATGGTGAACCTGTTATTGTGGGATACTGCGGCTGACCTGAGTACAAGCATCAGTCATAACTATTGCTTGATCAGCACTGTCATAAATTCAAACGTTTGCTGAATGAGTGGCTGTTAAGCAAGGATTATCCGTAGTTGCAACAAGCAGGAAATCCATATAAGGAAATGTTGAGGAATTAGGCTTTTCTTATGCAAACCAATTAATGTAGCGTTACCATCATTCCCAATCAGGTTCTAACAATCTCACCTGGATTAACCTTCAACTATTCCTCCCTTGTCTGAACTCTCATTCAGATGTCTTGAGCACAGATAGCATGGACTTTTCTCCCCTTATTTTGTCCAAAACAAAGTTCTGGCTTTACAATGAATCATTCAAAAGAGATGCACTCCCCCCTTTTAAAATGCATATCCTATCCTAGTCTTAAATATAGGAATGTGAGAAATTAACAAAGAAAACAACAAAATCTTTAGAACAATAATGATCAGTGAATTATGGGACAAATTTAAGTTCAAGTTGTATTTAAGATTCCACTGTAGTGCCAAACAATCAAAGAGCAATCCATAATTGGGACACGGTCTGCAGCATCAACCTCTGAGAGTGGGGCAATTTCAAGGAGGAGGCAGCAAACCTTTAGGTGCCTGTCTTTCAAGCCGCTTATTTATACTGTACTTATCCAAAATGAAGCAAGATCCTAGAAATTACAGAGGAGCACTAGAAGTTGAGTGCAGAATTGTTACTAATTTTTGGTCAATGGTGCTTCTTCTCTACCTCTGAGAGGAAGGTCTTGCCACTGAAACTGACACTTATGTACACATCAGATCCTTAAAGAGCACAGGTGTCAAACTTGCTGTGTCACATTGCTGTCACATGACATTTTGCAAAAATTTTCCCGTTTGCAGAGCTGGGGTGGGTGAGGCCTGTGCATGACACATCCAGCCTGTGGGCTGCCAGTTTGACACTCCTGTTATAGAGCTACCCACAGGGAGAGTCGTGCAATGCAAGTCTCCATTCTCAGTGTTAGAGAATGGCTTCCAAAGCATGCAAAAGAGAGCAACGCCTTCAGCTGCTGAAGCGATGGATTTTTCTAGATATCCCAAGCCACTTGTGCACTTTCATTTGACTAGAAGGCTCTGCCAACATTTATAGAAGAAGTAGGTCCCCCACCCCTTTAATCCTTTGTGAAATTTTATTCTGTTGCTGCAACTATATAGTCTTAAAGAAGGGCTGTTCAGAAATGAATGAGGGACAGCTGTACTGCTGACACAGATACTATTTCAAAGCATACATTCTTGAGAAGATATTCAATGCTTGATTTAAAAACTGCTACAAATCTGATTATTACCGAATCTGCATTCTGTTGAAGATCTACAGGACAACAGCAAACGCACCACTTTTTTTCTTTATGACCATATGTTTCAAGAAATCCAGCTATCAGAGAACTCTGCCCCACAATGTCAATCTCCACAACTGTTTATTACCTTCTTTAGAACTGATGCCTTGTATAGGTTTGCCATCTTATTGGTCCGGAAAGCTTCATATTCCATCTCTACAGCACATGCTAGAAAACCTGAACTAAAACAGACCCATAGTTTGAGAATCAGTGGACAAAGGTATTTCTCCCAATACAAAGGAAATGTTCCATACTTTCTTATAAGAGGTGTCATTGTAGAATCCATATTGCGACAGTTGGCAGTTCCAAATTATTGCCTGAATGCAAAAATACTAGTGGCAATTGACTATTCTTCCCCAAAGAAGGAGACAAAAAACAGTAACTCAAAGTTATATTTTTCATTTCAATATTTCTAGTTTATTGCACAAGTACTTCTAACCTGCTTATTTTTTTCTTTTTCTTTTTTGCAGTATGGTGTATTTTTATAGTACACTGCTATCCTCTGGTGGAAACAAAAGGAATTGCAGTATTTAGATCACAGAAGAAAAGATGCAAATATACTTGGGTCATTCAGATAATCACATTCGGATAAGAAAAAGGTTCACCCAGTAATACAAAAACGACCACATAACTAAATACTTGGATTCCAACAATGGCATTTGCTGGAGAACCAACATAGTCATCCCTAAGAATATGCATATTTAGAGCTTTAAACTTAAGCATGATGACATTTTGTGTGACTTGTGCAAATACTCTTAAATTTTTCCATGGTTCAAAATATGGCAGCGATATGCAAGTTTACTCATTTATAGACTGTCTTTCAAGAAGAAAAACAAATCCCAGGGCAACTTGAGAACAAAAATAGCAAGAGAAATAGCACAAAAAATTCCCCACAGAAGTGATTTGTTTCCTTAGCTCTTTTAAGACTAACAGAAAATCTGACAAATCAACATATTGGAATTTGAAACTGAAACAAGTATGTGTGTGTATATTCCTTCCCTATCCAAAAATTTCACCTGCAAGTGTCCCTTGCAAGGGCCATGAAGGAAAGGCTGGATGAAACTACAGCTGAAGCTCTTATAACACGGTAGTCCTTCTATGTAGTATAGAGCTCTTATATTTGGTCTGCATCTGTGCCCTTAACTTGTCTGAGGGCAGGGAGAAAAAGGATCCAAAGGGAGCTCTGGGACTCTTCCACCAAATTGGATTAGATCTACCTATCTGTAACTGGTGTTGCTTGCTGGTTGGTGATCAATGCTTCTTCCAGCATCCTAAGGCAGTGTTCTCGAGCCTAAAATAAAAAGAGGACATATGGAAGTGTGCTCCTTGCCAAAAGTGAAACAATGTATGTGCAGCAGGATAATTTCCAGGATCATATCTGTCCTGCTATCCTAATAATTGTTCCAGGAGTTGGGGTTACAGTATTACAGTCAAGGTCTATGTTTTGCTTATTAAGCTTTTTCTTTAAAAAGATTAACCCAGGCCTAAAATGAAGTAAGAAAGAACCCAATACAATAATCGTTTGGTGTATTCATCAAAATCAGGATATGTATGACAAATTACAATATCATTAACTGATTTTTTTAAAAACATGTTTCAGGGTATAAATAAAAAGGTTTCACAGAGTTGGGATGATAAGGACTGGAGAAGTCAATACTGTGGTCTGAACAGCTAAGACAAGTTTTAAAAAAATCAGAAAAATACAAATTTATTTATGGAACTCTGAAAATACATTTAAAGCACTCCCTGAACATTTCTTTTTTTTGGTGTGGATTACAAAATGGTCTCTAGACCACTCATGAAGTTCAAATAATGCACAGGTATTAATAAAAAAACAACCAGGAAGACATTTTAAAGCTATAAATCAATACCTGTGTGTGAACGTTATATCATATTGGAGACAAGTAGTTCAGAATGAACTAAACTGCATTACGTGAAAGCTGGGGCTAAGACTTACTATGGTTCTTTAGGTCTGGATGTGGAAGAAGCAGTGAAAGAAGGGTATCTGAATCCTCATCACATCATAAAAATTCAGGGGAACAGCACATAGATTTTCTTTTACTGAATAGGGAGATTTGCTCCACTAGTATAAAACCAAGTAAGCAGAAAGAACTTTTAGAAATCTTTCTACATTATTAAGCACATCTGATATTAAAACATTTCTCTCTTGCTTTTAAAATTCCATGTATAAGAGCATCTGGTGGCGCAGTGGATAGAATGTAGTACTGCAGGTTGACTCTGCCCACTGTCAGCAGTTGACTCAGCTTTCCATTCTTCTGAGGGTGGTAAAATGGGGTCCAGATTGTTGGGTGCAATATGCTGACATTTGTACACTACTCACAAAGTACTGTAAAGAGACAGAGTTGCACTGAAGAGGTGTCTCACCTAGATTTTGATTGATCCTAACTTTATCTAGGAAACATATCTGTGCTATATTTTTCTTCACTTACTCTTCAATTTGAATATCAGAACTTAAGCAGTTGACAACAAATAATAAGTAGATTGTATTAAAATAACCTGCCTTGAAAAAAATTCCACTTACCTTTACTGTAATTTTAGCAATTTTCCTACTGGCTGCATCCTTCAAGGGACAATCAGTATCTACCAAAAGGAGCAAATACACAAGTTAAGTTAATAAATTCTAATATGTTGTCAAACTTTTCACAAATGGGAAGAATAACTGTACATCCTGTTGGTTGGTGTATGTGATGAGGATACATCTTATTAGCTATCTGGAAATCTGCCAGTTATATTATCACTGGGGTAGATCATAATGAAAGTGTATCATTTTACTGACATTTACCCACTATTTATTATGCATTATTTTGCTCATATGTTTTTGATTATCTCTGAAATTTTCAATAGCATAAAAGCCATTCTGAGGCCAATTAAAGGAGTGGCAGGTTTTTTTTTTCCTCTCCATATTTTTAAATGCCACCTAAGTTACAGAACCAATTACGTTATCTTGTACTTCATCTTACTCATAATGAGATAGCTCTAAAACACATTTACATGATGTCCAAGCGCCATTATTAATCAAACATATGTATTTATCACAGATTTCCAGAATGCTATTTGGCACTGAGGAAAGTGCTAATGAAAATATGATTTAGCTATTTGTGACAGTGTTGGGCTTAAATCCAAATGCTTTAGCAAGGAGCTCTTCATAGGCAATAATACTATCTGTAGTTCAGTCCAACATGGAATCCTGGGGTCAGTAATGTCATATACCAAGAGCAAATAGCATTCTAATATCCATTAAACAATCTTCTGCTGGTAGATATTAAATTTATAAATGTTGCAGGCCTACAGTAAACAGAAAAACTAAGAATTCCAGCAACTACTATGTATAAAATGAAAATTCCATTTATAATTAAATCAAAGTTCAAATTTTTGCACCTTTTTCTTCTACCTGTGTGCTAAAGAGGCTAGAAGCATCTCCTTTTTGAGCAGGATGAACAGTTTCCACCTGTTCTTCATTACTGTAAACTATCATTAATTTCAGGTTATTTGTTTCTAATTCTATCAAACTAGCCCTCATATTAGAGTTCATGAAGATTAAAGCATTGACTGATTATGCATCCTCATAGACAGATCTTCTGGGCACACTATCCCCACCTGGTCCTTCAATCTTCCAATATAGCACCCATTGCTGCTGTGATTGAATCCCTTTATCTTACAGGCTAAACTATTATACAGGCTGTAATGACTGTCAATTCCTCAAAAACACCCATGCAAACTTTATCCAAAACTGATATGTGAAATAATATTTACCCGGAAGAACAAAGTTATCATTTTCAGATTCTCTGCCCTAAAGATATAAAAAGATGGAAATTAAAGTTAAACAGAAACAACAAATTTCAAATGACCATATGAAATGTTTTTAAAAATGTTGCATGCTAAAACTTAACTAAGAATCTGAAATTTGAACTCAAAAAATCAATGCATTTAAATATTTTAAAAAATATTTTAAACCAAATTTGGTTACTTAGGCTAATTAACAGGATTCAGGTTAATAACAATAGTGCCCCCAACTTATGTGGCAATTACGGTATTTTATCTTTCGCTGGTTAAAGTAGAATTACTGTTAAACTTATCATATACAGTATCTTCATCTACATTTTCTGACTTCTATAAATAAATTTTGGATGAATATTACTAGATAATATTCTAGTCATATAGAAACCACTCAAGAAAGTGCTTAGAAGCAGAAATAATTTAAAATTGTCTCACATGTGAAGAAACCCTATTCTTCTTATCCTTGAGTTGAGATCTGTGTTTGGCCTATGGGTTAAGACCAGGCTAGAAATCAGAAGACTGTAAGTTCTAGTCCCCCATTAGGCACGAAAGCCAGCTGAATGGCTTTGGGCCAGTTACTTTCTCAGCTCAACCCACCTCACAGGTTTGTTGCTGTGGGAAAAATAGGAGGAGGAAGGAGTATTATGTATGTTTACTGCCTCGAGTTATTTATAAAAATAAGAAACACAGGTATAAATGAATAAATAAAATTAAACAATTCTCACTATGCTGTCCAAATTCAGTGGCAAGATTTCCCACTATTTTAAAATAGGAAATGAGCTAGGAATTCAAGAATGGTGGCTCCTCTAATAGGCTCTTAATGATATATTTACAACAATATTTACAAAAAGTACATTAAAATTTAATTAATTTAACTGATCCATAGAGACAGTACATTAGAAAAAAGTAAATAACAATAAATAACAATAAATGAAACATTTTCAAAGTGGGCAAATTCTTGTGAAATGGCCATTAGTCACAAAATCTCTGTGGTTTTAGGTCATCTTGCCCACTTTAATGTCTGATTTTTAAATACAAACTACTCTCTTTGATGCCTGCTGTTTGTACTCTAAGCCCAGAAACAATCCTCAACAATCTCAATTTAAAAACAAAACAAAATAAAGGCAAAATCTCACTCTTGCTCAAGTACACTATATGGTTCTACCAAAAGACACATATATCTGTGATGAAGCACAACAGGTGCCCCCACAATATGATTCTCTTAGCAAGAGGGAAAAGCCAGAATTATATCCAGTTTTTAAAGGAACTGAATGGCTTTCTTCCTATTAGTATTTGTACAAGGTTTCGTCTTAATATTTTGGATCAATTCTGAAGTCTTACAGATAGTCCTCGATTTACAACGGTTCAATTAGTGACAGTTTGAAGTTACAAGGGTACTGAAAAAAGTGACTCATGACTATTTTTCAGTTACAACCTTTGCAGCATCCCCATGATCATGTGATCAAAATTCAGATGCTTGGCAACTGGCTATGACCATTGCAGCATCCCGGGGTCTTGTGATCACTTTTTGCAACCTTCTGACAAAATCAATGGGAAAGCCAGATTCACATAACAACCAGGTTACTCACTTATCAACTGCAGTGATTCACGACACAACTCTGGCAAGAAAGGTCATGAAATGGGGCAAAACTCACTTAACAAATTCTCACTTAATATAATTTTGGGTTCAATTGTGGCTGTAAATTCAGGACTACCTGTATTTTCTTGGGAGTAAGTTTAGTTGAACTCAATGTGGCTTACTTCTTAGGAAGCGCACCTGGATTCAAATATATTCAATCCAAACATGCTTTTGATGTTTAGGTAACCCTTGAGTTATGACAATTCACTTAGTGACCGTTCAAAGTTACAACATACCCCCCCCAAGTATTTACAACAGTCGCGAAATTACGAATATTGCATCACCACAGCAGTAGTTCACATAAATGACTACAGAGCCGCTAGAATATTTGTCCTGCCTATTCGTCACCCCTCCATTTCCCAAGCTGGGTCTCCATAGGCACTAAGCCTGTGGATACTCACCTTGCAAAGAATTAGCAAGCCTTCGGTTTCTTGGCCTGCTTCAGGCCTTCGGTTTGCAGAGAATGGTGGCCTAAAGTACCACAAGATCATGTGATATCAACAACGCAAGATCTCACGCTACTGATCTCGCATGATCTCCCTTTACTTTAGCCTTCTGTTCTCTGCAAATGGAGGCCTAAATGAGATCTGCAACAACAGGCTTTGCAGATGGAGGCAAGGCCTGTAGCATCAAAGCCTTCCCTCCATTTGCAAAGCCTTTTGTTCTCTTTGCCGATGAGAAGAGAGCCTGAGAGGGGTTCGCGTCCCACCAGGCCTCCATTCTTGTTGGCAAAGGACTTGAGGAAAGGCTTTTGCTGACGAGAACAGAGGCCAGAAGGATGCGCGCACCCCTCATGGCCTTGTTGGCAAAAGCTTTTCCTCAAGTCCTTTGCCAACAAGAATAGAGGCCTGGAGGGACGCGAACTCCTCCCAGGCTCTCTTGTCATTGGCAAAGGCTTTTTGCAAAAATGACTGGAGCCTATAGGAACGCAATCTCTCGTCCCTGTAGGCCTTGGAAAGCCTTTGCTCAAGATGAAATCGCAGCAGAGAAGCTGGAGAGCAGATAGCTCCATTGATCATCCAGATCTACGTCAGGTAAGTGACCCAGTTGGGCAGGATGGTGGGGGTGGGAAGCATGAGATATCTCAGCTGGTTGAGGAAAGCACTAGGCCTCTCGTGGCCTTCCTCTTCGTGAAATATCTCATACACTTAACGACTCACACATTCAATTAACTAATGTTTGGGAAAAAGCAGCAAGTGATCACATTCAAGTTACATAATTCACTCCTACGAATCCTCAGGCAGGCTATGTAGGTGAGGCTCTATCTTCTATAGAAAGCCCTTCCACTTACCCTGCGCAACTTCATCTGTTTGTTATAGAAAATGTTCCATTCCTTTTTCTGGCTGTCCTCATTAACTGCACCCACACTCCTGGTATCTTCATCATAGCTGAATAGTAACTCAGAAAGAGTTGGAAGTTGAACAGGAGAGTCATGTAAAATTGTATCAAATCTTAAATTAGGATTAAAGCCCAATATTCTAGGCATTAGGACTGAGCATCAGGATCGTGGATCCTTGTATAAACAAGATTGAATAAACTATGGAACCATGATGGACAATGTGTTTCAAATTCAAACTGGAATTCAAATTTCAAGCCTACTCAGAGGTTCACTAACTTAGCCAGCATGACAGCTGATGAAGGTTGATGGGATCTCTATTAAAATAATGTCTGGGTCACATACTGCCTGTCCCAGCACAAACACAATGGAAACAATTTTGTATAACTATGTAATGTAAGAAAATGCTGTTAACTTCCATCTAGTGTGCTGCAAAGATTAAAAACAAATATTAGAGTAAGCTGTTAAGCTAAACACTTGGATCTTACTCTCACTCACAGGAAGAAAGGGATGCAGACTGTATGCTTAATTTTCCAACAGAAATTATGAAATCATCTTTTTACCAACAACAGTTGGCAGATTGTTATTTTAAAAAACTGTCGTTTTTTTCTGAACAGTTTTGAGGGTTAACCCTAACCCTAACTTAAAGTCAATTTGGGGAGCATGTGCATGATTATCTTACCAGATGGACACGGACATGTTCCATCTCCCTACTTTGTTTTTAAGGCCTGCAGCCTTCCCTTAAGCAAGGAAATAGAAATAAGGCAGAATCACTGTGCAGCCCCACAAGGGAGAACACCAACTTTTACTTGCAACAGGTTTACACAACTCAACACATTCTGAGATCCAGTTTTACATTTGTATTAAGAGAATTGCATAATTACATTTAAACACGTAAAAAGCATTTCTATAACAATTTAAAACAATATATATTTCTTATCCTCCTTGTTCTTGATCCTTTTGACTTTCAAAGAGTAATTGTGTAATCTATTGAAGTGAGATTCATGAAGAAGCTGTAGTTTTTGAGGTCATTACTTTAGCCCACTTACGCAGAAAAAACTCTCAACTTTTATCCTCCTTAGTCAGGAGAATCATTAAAGTTACCAAAAGGAAAAAAAGAGAAGAACAGTTCTTATTTGTCACTAACAACATTGGCCCCCCAAAAATGCATCTCCCCAGTTAGTTAATGCAGACTTACCTTTCAAAGCCACCCCAACCTCGCTTTCCTCCTCCATATAGCTCAGGATCACAGGCATTCCAAGATGAAGCAGAAGGTCCAATATAGGTTCTGCTCCAACTTTTGGTGCTATGCTGTAATGCTTCTACTTGCTTCTTCACTGCTACTGGATTCTTACAGTAATCACAGCTTCTGTTACATTGGGGAACATCATCTCCAAAGTAATTGGCGATGGCAGCGTGGCGACAACTAACAGGCAAACAAGAAGCAATGTTAGATTGAGGAAAAGGAAAGGAAACAGAGAAAATGCTTTTCTTACAGTGGTTTGGAAGGTTCAGAGACTTAACAGATAACAGATAATAAGAGTTGGAAGGGACCTTGTAGGTCATCTAGTCCAACCCCCCCGCCCAAGCGGGAGATCCTACACCATTTCTGACAGATGGGAGTCCAATCTCTTCTTGAAAGTCTCAAGTGATGGCGCTCCCACAACTTTCGAGGGCAAGCTGTTCCATTGGTTGATTGTGCTCACTGTCAGAAAGTTTCTCCTTATTTCCAGGTTAAATCTCTCCTTGTTCAGTTTCTATCCATTATTCCTTGTCTGGCCTACAGGCGCTTTAGAAAATAGCTTGACCCCTTCCTCTCTATGGCAGTCCCTCAAATATTAGAAGACCTTTATCATGTCTCCCCTTGATCCTTCTCTTCACTAGACTAGCCAAGCCAAGTTCCTGTAACCGTTCTTCATATGTTTTAGTCTCCAGTCCCCTAATCATCCTGGTTGCTCTTCTCTGTACTTTTTCTAGAGTCTCAACATCTTTTTTATAATGTGGTGACCAAAACTGGATGCTGTACTCTAGGTGTGGTCTTACTAAGGCTTTATAGAGTGGTATTAGTACTTCCCTTGATCTTGACTGTATCCCTCTGTTAATACAACTTAGGATTGCATTAGCTTTTTTGGCTGCTGCTGCACACTGCTGGCTCATATTTAGCTGGTTGTCCACTAAGACTCCAAGATCCCTCTCACAACTACTGCTATTGAGCCTGGTTTCACCCAGTCTGTATGTGTACTTTTGGTTTTTCTTGCCTAAGTGTAGGACTTTACTTTTCTCTACATTGAATTTCATTTTGTTAGATACGGCCCAGTGTTCTAGTCTGTCAAGATCCATCTGGATCTTGAGCCTATCTTCTTGGGTGTTAGCTATTCCTGCCAGCTTAGTATCATCTGCAAATTTGGTAAGTTCCCCTTCTATTCCCTCATCTAAGTCATTAATGAAGATATTGAAGAATACTGGGCCAAAGACGGAACCTTGTGGCACCCCACTGCTTACTTCCCTCCATGTAGACTTAGACCCATTAAGGACTACTTGCTGAGTACGGTTTGTCAGCCAGTTGCGAGTCCATCTAGTGGTGGTGCTATCTATTCCACTTTTTTCTAGTTTACTAAGAAGTAGGTTGTGGTCTACTTTGTCGAATGCTTTGCTGAAATCTATTATGTCCACAGTATTTTTCTGGTCTACTAATTTAGTCACTGTGTTGAAGAATGAAATAAGATTGGTTTATCATGATCTGTTTTTAACAAACCCATGCTGACTGCTAGTTATTACTTTACTTGTTTCTAGATGTTGGCAGATCTGTTTTTTTATTATCTTTTCCAGTATCTTCCCGGGTATTGATGTTAGGCTGATTGGTCTATAGTTTCCTGGGTCTGTTATTTTTTTTCCCTTTTTTGAAGATGGGAACCACATCAGCTCTTTTCCAGTCCTCTGGTAGTTCCCCGGTGCTCCAGGATTTTTGAAAGATATGGCGCACTGGCTCTGGGATGTAATCCATCAGGCCCCGGTGATTTGTTTTCATCAAGATCAGACAGGTGTTCGCTTACTGTTTTTTTTGCTTATTTTAACTTTTATTTCTGGTCTGTCTTTTACAGTTAGGTTTTTGGTGGGTTGAGCTATAGTTTCTTTTTGCGTGAAGACAGATGTAAAGAATGAGTTAAGCAGTTCTGCTTTCTCTCTGTTGCCTGTTACTTCCTTGCCATCTTCTCTCTTTAGTGGACCAGCTGTTTCCTTGATTTTTTCTTGTTATTTATAAGATGGAAGAAACTTTTTTTATTATCTTTGACTTTAGTTGCAAGTCTTTGTTCATTCTGAGCCTTTGCTATCCTGACTTCGTCTTTGCAGATTCTGGCTATCTGCTGATATTCTGCCTTAATTGTACGTCCTTCTTTCCATTTTTTGTACTTGTCCTTTTTTTCTTTCAATTTGCCAGAGAGATCTTTGTACAGTTATGCTGGTTTCTTCTTGGATTTCTTGTTTTTCTTTCTCAGTGGCATTGTGCTGGTCTGGGCTTCTACGATCATACTTTTTAGAGTTTCCCAAGATTCTTGAGTTGTTTTCCCCTTTAGGATTTTCATCCATGGAATCTTTCCCAAGTTCTCTCTGAGTTTATTGAATTCACCTCTTTTAAAATCCAAGACTCTGGTGTCATTATGTTCTGTTGCTTGTGTTTGTTATGTTGAATTCTAATATGACATGGTCACCCTCACCCAAGGTTCCTGCAGTTGCAACTCCCTCTATCACTTCTCTGTTTGTAAGAATTAAGTCCAATATGGCTGTCCCTCTAGTTTCACTCTCTACCTTTTGGACAACAAAGTTGTCAGCTAGGTTGGTTAGGAACTTATTTGATTTCTCACTTGGTGCAGAATTAGTTTTCCAATTGATATCAGGATAATTGAAGTCTCCCATTACTATTGTTGTGTGTTTCCTGCATATGTTTGTTAGTTGGCTGGCAAAAAGGACATCTATTTTTTTCTGCAGGATTGGGTGGCCTATAATATACACCTATGGCCATGTCATTTTTTTTCTTTTATATTGACCCATATGCATTCTAGGAGGTTTTCATCTTTAGTTTCATGCATTTCTGTAGCAATACAGTGGTCCTTTACACACAGTGCAACTCCACCTCCTCTTTTATGGGGTCTGTTTTTTTAATAGTTTGTATCCTTCTACCAGTATGTTCCAGATATGGGTTTCATCCCACCAAGTTTCTGTTATTCCAACTATATCATATTTACCTTCATGTATTCTTAGTTCGAGTTCACCCAGTTTGTTCTCCAGTCTTTGTGCATTTGTATATAGGCACTTGAGATCTTTATGTCTGACACTGTGTTTACTGTCTCTGTAACCTGTGTTGTGCCTGCCTCCCCCTACTTTCTTGCCACCTGTTTGATTAATGCACTTGGTATGGCACTCACTATTAAATACTTGGTTTTGGTTGGCATCAAGGTTGATAATCTTATCTGCACAAACTATTTTGCATGCACTGGTATCCTTATTAGTTTTAGGTTGCTGTGGACAGAAATGTTTTGGATCCATTAATTCTGTGTCCCCGCTGTTCAGTTTAAATGTTTATCCAGGAAATCTGTGAATTTAATGCCAAGTATCTCAGTCCCTTTCTTTGATGGATGCAAACCATCTCTTTTGTAGTTTTTCATTGGATCAGCTGCAGACATCATGACTAATAAAACCAAAGCCTTCCCTTTTACATCACTCCTTTAGCCACACATTAAACTCTGCTACACGCTGCCCTTTCCCTTTTTGTTCCTTGTATACTAGTAGAACCTCTGAAAAGATAAGCCTACAGCTAAGTTCATACCCCAAGCTCTGGAAGTCTTTCTTTCTTTTTGGTAAATTTTACTTGAGTTTTAAAAAGAATACAAATAAAACATCTTTTTTGAAAGTAGCGTAATCCCGGGTTACATTTCTTTGTACAGACACAAATTCAGGTTCATGCTCATTTTTATATTCTATTCCATATCTTATTACTATTTTACATTTTCTGCATAGCTTCTCCCCTCTTTTAATTTTCTCAATTTTATTTTAATTATCTCATCTCAATTCAAATCATTGTATTTATATTTTTTGTTTGTCCTGTTTCAATTATCTATCTATTTCTCATTAAACAAAATTTCTCCTGTAGTTACTGATTGGAGTATGACGCCTTTATATCTTTTCCCTAAAGTTGTAACATTCAATATAATACATAACTTCCATTCAGATTCTGCTTGGTACATTCTTAAAATACACGCTGTATTCTTAAAAAAAGAAAAAATTATAAATGTATATAATTAAAACAACATTCCATTCCAATTCAATTCTATCATTAATATTAATATTCATTAAAGTCTTAACATCTTTAACATTACTTTTCAATTAAATATCATACTTCTATGGGAACAATTATAAGCTTTCCATAGTTAATTCCTCCCCCTTCACTTATATTTTATAAAACATTAACTACTTAAAATGTTCCCGTTCCTTCCTAATTCAATTTTCTCATTTATTTTATTTCACTTATTTTATTCACAAAGGTTTCACTAAATTACACTAACTATTTTATCCCTCATTTTAATCATATATTGTTTCCAATTTTCTAAAGTTACTTCTATTACTAATATAACAATACAATCTTGTGTACCTTTACAGAATCCCTTTTTCAGTTAGATTTTCACCCATTATCTCTAAATAGGTCCTGTTTCTCTATATCTTGTCCTTTGTAATTTCTTTTCCTTTCCTTCTTCCCTCTCTTCTTCTCTCTCCCCTTTTTACCCCCTTGTCTCTCTACCTCTATTTCTCTCTTCTGTATTCCCCTTTTCTGTTGCTTTCCAGTATTATACTTATTTTTCAAATTATTTTTCTTTTCTTTGGTTGTTTTTTTTAGTCTTAAATTCTCCATTCTCTTTCCTCTCTTTCCTTTTTCTTCCCGACATAGAATTGCTTGTTCATTAAAGATGGCTTCTTCTTTGTTCCAGTCTTCTTGTTTTGCAGTCGTATCTTGTTGTTTCTCATAGTTCCAAATCTCTATTTCTAAGAATTGAAAAACAAAGCCAAAAGAACCCTTCCCTTCTTGTGCATCTTCTTTGTACTTTTTAAGTTCCATTTTCAATTCATCCAGAAGTGGTGCCATTGTATAAATTTTTAAATAACCACCCGATTGATTTTAGTCATTCAAATATAATAACCAAAAATCCAAAGATCACTAAATAATCCAAATACACGCAAGCTTTCTTTTCTGCTCTTTTTTTTTTTTCACTTTCTCTTCCTGGGGTTACTATTTAGTTGCCAAGTTTCAGTTAAAATGTATTTTTTAGAAATCTTGTTGAAGTTTTACTGTAGATTCTTTTTAATTACAGGCAGTCTTCTCCCTCTTCCAGATCCTGCCCTTATTCTTTTTCTCTCCCTTCCTGCTTATGAAAAATAAAAATTTTAATGTCCAGAAATCTTTATTATCCCTTTGGCATTTTGTTTTATTTTCAGCTTAATTGCCTATTGATGTCAAAGCGGATTTTTCCAATTTCTTATTTAAGTCTCTTAGTCGTCAGAATAGGGAAGGAGAAAGAAGAAGAAAAAAGCCAAACCTTTCCCTTTTCACTTTCCTTCACTGCTTCCAACTCTTCTTTGGGTGCGATGTTATTTTTTTGTAAGTTTAAATTAAAGGGTACCTTAATTGTTGCTTTTACAATTTAACCCGGTCAGCCAAAACTTTCACTTCTTATCTTCCTCCTGCACATTCTTTTCCAGTCGAGTTCTTCTTTATGGTGGCCATTTCTGACCACCGCTGCAACTGCCTTTGAGAAAGGGAGTAATGGCCAGCTGAGGAGGAGAGATGCGGCTCTCCTCAACCCTGCTGGTGGTCTCCCCCCTCTTCACCACCTCTACGGAGTGGCTTAGCCCCGAAACCAGCCGGCTCGGGGCGCTCCAGTGGCGAGCCCAGACAGAAACTGTGCACGAACATGGATTTCTGTCTGTCGCCGAAGTCCTTCAAACCGGAAGTCCAAGCTCTGGAAGTCTTTCTGAACAGAAAGTACATCCTTCTTGGACAGATCATTTGTACCAAGATGTATAATAGAATCAACATCACAGTCCTTGCTGGCATTCTTGACTATCTTAAGAATACGCTTCTTGTCTCCGCTGGCAGTAGCACCTGGTAGACACTTGACCTCTTTCAAAACCAAAACTTTCTGAAGGTGGACAAAGTAAAAATATTCACAGGATAAGGACATAGTGACACAAAGCATTATTTGCTTACCATGCTTTCTAGACTACTGAAAAATACTAGCCTTCTATTTTGAGATAATTTGAGTATACAGTTTGGTAACCTTAATTATCTGTTGGCAACCTCTCCTACTAATCTCTAACCAGAAGTTATAAAGGCAGTTATAACACATCAAAACCACAGGAATTTAAAATTACAATGAGGTCTTGTTTTACGGTTGGTTCATATTAACATTTCCCTTCATACATGTTTTTATAAATGTTATTGGGTAGAATGTCAAGTGGAAAAATATGCTGTATACTGTTCCTGTTAGAGCAACCACCTAACTGGCTGGATGAATGGAACTGTCTGTACAGACCATAAAAGATCAATAAAAAGGAGTCCTTGTTGACTGAGCTAAGATACCTTTGGGAGAAGGATAATCTATTTCTGTAGACAACTTAAAAAAAAATAGAACAAATGCCAATGAACCAACATTCTCTTTTCCAACCTTGCCGTTTAGCACAGATGGAAATTACTATTTAAGAGAGACTTTCAAAAACATTTTTCCCTGGTGTATTAATTTCCAAGCGTGCCACAAATGCAGTTATAAGCATATAAACTGATTATATATTTTGTCTCATTCTGCATTACAAAAGGAATGTAGGCTTCAGTTTATGTCCTATGATAGGTACAATATCCCAGGAGTTCATTTACAATAATTCTAAGCACTGGCACTTTTCCTTATTCCAAATAATATGAAAACCAAAACATCTTCCATTTGAAAACAGGCTTATGCTGGAAAGATGTGAACCATGGTAGTAGAGTATTTTTGTGGCATTTAAAAAAAAAAAGCCTTTTGAGGCATTTCCCTATTGAATTGTAAGGAAGAAGGAGTAAAACTTTCCAACAGTAAGGACTATTTCAGCAAATGTACAGATAAACGAACACCTGTTGTGCTAACACAGGACGATTTAGGACCCATCCGGTTGAGAAAGCTGTATCTGTCAGATACTCAGCTGGTGGCTTAAAATCCCAGAATACAAAAAGTTAGGATGGGGAAGAGAAAAAAAAAAATGCTACAAAGCTACCCTTATCAGTTCTGCAAAGTGACACTGACTCACACTGCTCTTGGGCTAAAAGAAAGCCTCTTTTCACAACCAATGAAAGATTATCCGGTTGAATTTTTTTCTTCATGCCCTTCTAGCAATTGCTAGCATTACCCAGCTGGAAATGCCAAGGGTCTTTGGCAGTCCCATTTTTTTTCTCTTCAGAAAAGGAAAAGAACAAACTATAATTTGGTTACGCCAGGAAGGAGACTTTGTTTTTTAATTATCAGCACTCCCGCAGGGCTTCCAAGGTAACAGAACTCAGTATGTACAACTAAAGCCATATGCTCATATTTAAAATGATACCAGTTAATAAAAATGCAGGCAATGTTTTTAATTAGTAGTTGAGGCAATGGAGTTACAGGTTCAAGTCAAAAGGTCAATCTCTGGCAGAGTTACAAGAACTGGCCAAGTTGTCAGTTGGTTTCTTGGCTGGAAGGGTTGATGGTCTTTCTTAGAATAGTCAGAGCAGCTTTCTTTGGAATACTTTATTCATGATCTTAGAGCAGCCAACTCTCTGCAAAGTGTTCAATTGAGGCAGGGGATGTGGGGGAGGAGGAGGGGGAGGAAAAAATGAAAACCAGAGAAGCCACTCTCTTCCTGGCAAGGAATAACATGGAATCAGAATATCTATCCATCCCTCCATCTCCCTTCCTTATCCTACCCTGCCTTGCCCACTGCCTTGGAAGTGCAGATGCTTCCACTTGTATTTCCCATGTATTAACAGTTCTCCTCAAAACCTCTCTACTTGTGAACTATGGAATTATTTCTTCACTCCTGTGGAAGGGGTGGGGTGGGGGGCACAGCCATTGCATAAATTGGGTCTTTTGATTCTTTTTCATGGAGTATTTCACAGGGGAAAAAAAAAGCCCGCAAAGATCTTCACGTATCCATGGAGGAAGAGCCTTTCGGTTATCCATGCTGCTGATTTTGCTAAGAGCAAGTAATTCTTTTTCTAACACCAATTACAAAATTAGCAGTCTCTAGTGGTGTGGAAAAGAACTCAAGAGTTGCCCAGACAGTGTAAGAAAAGAGCTGAAGAAATTTCTCAGATGCAGGCAAGAGTTACACAAAAAGTTGCAACAACTCTTGATTCAGGGAACCTTGTGGCAACAGTGAGACTCCAGTTGTGTTTTTTCCCTTCTTGGTGAGTATGTAATATGAAACTTTACATCTCCAGGATACTAACAACAAAAAGAGAGAGTGCCAGCACGCATGCACACGCAGGCAGAGAAAGCAGCTGGCTGTCAGTAACAAGGATAAGAGAAACAGAGGAGGGAGATATGCGTTGAGAATCAAAAATGCAATGGGAGCTGACATGAAAGGGCAGTGACAGAAAAATACAAAGGACAGAGAAAACAGAAAGTTCTTCAACACCACTGGAGAAAAAAGCTCTTCTCAAACAGAATCACAGAGGAAGACTGATTTGTTCAACTTACAGTTGTATACAGAGTTCAACGTAAGTGTTTGTAAATGGAGCTTGCCAGAGGAAAGTGTGTAAAAAGGACACACCGGGGCAGGGGAGTGCAGGGTGGGGGAGATAAAGGCTTTTTGCTGGGCTGGCAAAGTTGCTCTGCAGGAAAAGTGTACTAGCAGATCAGTTTCTGCACGTTCCCTTGTATTCTTATTTCTTAGAAACTCAGCACTGAGAACTGAAATTGGTAACGGAAAAAATAGCAACTACTACTTGAACATTTTTCTTATGCAAGAAAAAGTAACATATATTCCTTGCTACTTTGAAATTTATGCATTATCCTAAACAAATAAACTAGTACTATGAACGAGAATTTAGGAAATATTTTCAGGAATTTTCTAGTCTTGGTCTATAAGGCATTTTCAGACAATCAGCTATATAGATGTTCAAAGAATACTTTGGAACTTGCCAATCGTTATTACTGTAGAACTTTTTTCTGAAAGAGTGAAATCTTTATCTTCAGGAAGAGAGCTCTATTTCTGTTGCACAACCGCTGAAATTTGACTCACAGAATTGGACATTGTATCAAATAGAGAAAAAAATATATCAAAATTTGTATGCTTTTATTTCACTCTCCAGCAGTGTCAGAAGGGAACAGCTGCATAAATATCTTTTAACAAAATCAGTTATTAAGGAATTCAATGTTAATTTATGTTGATGTGTAATTTATTATTAATCTTGTGTAGACCATGTAAAGGAAAAAGCTTCAGCTGCTCTAAGAGCTGCATTACATTTAGTAATATTCTTTAAAACAGTGACATCTTTGTTTTAGGTTTGGACTGCTCTAAGAAATAGCAGAGACCCTGTGCTTGTTTGAGGACGGAAACACTTCTTTCAAATATCTTTTGAAGCATGCAAAGCCTAAGCAGAGTATAATTTCAGAACAGATTGGTATTTTATGGAAAATTGAGCTTTTTTTTATTAAGAAGCACTGACTAGATTAGTGTGGTGTTTGAATTTATGCAGGCATTTTTTAAAAAGCAACTGGATCAATTAGTGACATGGTCATAATGGGCTACATAAGGTCGCTACAATAAGGAACAAATTCATTTCCAAAATGAACTGTAATATTACTGTTTTGCCTATCTGCATATTCAAAAGCATGACATATCTGCTGATACTCATCCATGCCAATGCTCCTGTTGCTAACCTGTCTGGATTGGCAAATTTCTGTGTAAGAAAAAAATGAAGCATTAAAAGGGCAACTCCCAGAAACCTGTAGGATGACATTCCAAACATTGTGGATAATATGTAGATTCCTCCAAAAATCTTCAAAAGACCAGCCTAAAGCTCTGATAAATTCCACAGTAAATTTGACCTAAAGAAATCTTGGCACAGGTTACTGTACAATAAAAATATGGTTGTTCTCTCATTTACCCTGTGCTAACAAATGAACATGAGTACTCACTTAACATTAATCAAATGTTCATTTTACTGTTCATTAAGAAAGATCTGTATTTGGAGGTGGCCAAACATGCATTGATTGGCTTGATCTAATATTATAATTTGGGTTTTTTCTTATTCCTATTTTTAGGGTTATACATATTTATACTACACTTTTTCATGTAAAAGATTTTTGAAGCTGATTTTATATTTTGTTTGTAACAAGTGCTGTTAGTATATGTTATTACTGCATCCTGTAAGTTGGCCAAAGGCATCAATCTAGTTGGCAGCATATACATTTTCTAAACATATACATAGAGAACTCTAACCTACAAAAGCATAAGTTGCAATACATATGTTATCCTTCAAGATATAATAACATACATAATTATTTTAACTGTAACAGGCTATCATCTTTAAATGATTTAAAGAGAGCTTTGAATCTGAAGAGTTTTTGTCCAAGAAATTGGGGAGACTTGTGGAAAGAAAAGAAAAATGTTTTTGTAAAGGAACATTGAGGTACAATTTGATATTTTCTGTCAGTTTCTATCCAAGCCTGCCATCACCAGCACATTATATTATCAGCCTCCAGCTAATACCAACAACTAGTAGAAGTTATTGTCTAAAAAAATTAATAATCAGTTGTGGCAGAGGGCTAACTATACATAACCTGAATATACTGTATAAACTATACATAATCTGAATTTTAGTTTAAGGACTTCCCCAAAACTGCTTTTCAAAATGTAAAAACTAATTGAGAATTTTCTCCAAGATCTAAACAGTTATAGGGAGATTAATTTTTAAAAAATGAGAGGCCCAAGCAGCTAAGCTGCAGAAATAAAACAACAACAGGCTTCTTAGGAATTTGGCATCAACTGGGGCTTGAAGATAGTTTGTAACAGCAGTCCCAAACAAAACAAACAGATCCAGAACTCTATAAAAACAGAGGCAACAGTCGCCAGACTACATTTAATTAGCAAAGGGACACTTCATATCAAAATACACAACAGAACAAAAAACAACATTGAGATGTGCAAGGTTCAACTGGATGTTATTTATACTATATCTCATCCTTCCATTTAAAGAGTTAATGATAGATATTATAAAGGCAAAGTTAAAACTAACACAGTAGAATTGGAACAAGTGAAAACGTAAATATTTGAGTTTATTAAGCCTACAAAAAGACTTTGTTTGTTTGTTTTTTTGCATTAATGTAAAACATTTCAGTGGTAAGCTCCCATAGGAAGAAAGGACCATATTTGTAGTTAATATTCCTTTCACTTCCAAAGGGGTAGAGATCAATGGAAAAATCTTTGAGGAATATCTTAATCTTTAGACAGATTTGTGTGAGTAAATTTTGTCTTTAGAAATCCTTTTCTATCAGCTAAATTTCAATGGATTGTTGTTGTGGGGAAAATATGAGGAAGAAGGTATGCTGGATATGATCACTGTCTTGAATTATTTGCAAATCTATTAAAGCTGGGTACAAAATAAAAAAATAAATAATTCCATTTGCATAGGTCAGTCATTTAAATTTCTTTCCATTATTGCCTCTATATTTTCTGGATAAATTTTACATTTGTTAATGGTTCTTTCATAACAATCTTGGGTTCTAGGACTAAAAACTAAAGTTTTTCTCATTTTGTGTGTTGGCAATATAGGCTTCTAAACTATCTGTTGTATCAGCTTTTTTCTAAATATGCAGCAACATAGAGAATAAATCGGAGGTTTAAAAACTCTATGTTACCCTTGATCCTGGTTTAGATAACTGTGTAATATGGGATAACTCATAATCTCAAGCCTTCTGACTCTTGATCATAAGGTATGTGACAACATAAGAAATAACTGAATAATACTGTTACAGAACTCAGACATCGTGGAGATGCTCATTTTAATCATATAAGGTCTCTGTGCTTAAAAATAAGATAATTTGCTCAAACTCACCAGAAAACAGGTTTGCTTCAGTAAGGATCTGTCTTACTGAAATACTTTAGTCACTTTTTGTTGGTGGAGATAAAAATTAACCAAATTTCTTCTTCTTTTTCTCTGTATATGAAGCTAATTAGATCAAACTACTACTATAATAGTCTGGGTGACAATACAGCATAAAGTTTCAAATAAGTCTATGGTCTTGATGGAAAGAAAAGCCTCAAGCTAAATTATCCACAATAGGACCTTTCCAGAGTTCCCTAATTGTCTTAAACTTTTGATACAAATTCAGGTTCAATGTGGATCCAGCTGATCTTAGGGTTTTGTGTCTTTTTGCTAAACTGTTATGCTACTGTTTAGAACATTCAGTAAGGAGGGGGTATAATTAAATTACTATTAAACTATTAATTAAGTAGGAGAACTACTATTGTCTTTCTCTAGCTAGAACTCTTGCTGCTATTAGCTGAAAACAAAGAATGGAAGGAAGGCTAAATAAAAAAGAAGATTCCAGAGAAGGCTAAAAGACAGGGAGGAAAAACAGTCCAATTTTCTGTGGCCAAAAGAAAAGAAAAGCGTCCAACATTTGGCCAGAAATGTATGCAGCAGCTAAAAAGAAACATGCAATTTAAAACACATGTCTTGACATAAGAATCCTTACTTGCACTGCCAGCTGTCATGTAATAAAGAGGCCTCTTGGTCTTCAAAAGTGGTGTTTTCCAGCCTCAGCAACTTTTAAGGTGTGGACTTCAACTCCCAGAATTCTCTGCCAATAAGCTGGAGTCCACACATTTTAAAGTTGCTGCTCTTAAACACAACTACCAAATAGCTTTTAGGAGGGCTAGGCACAACAACAGGCTGGCATAGTGCCATTCACTTTACAAAAACTTTGAACAATATCTAGATGAAACATTAACACAAAAACAAATTTTCTTTTATTTCTATAAGTATCTGGACTTCATCCCTTTTGTGAAAATAACATTGGCAACTTCTGAATATCTGTTATCATTATACTCACTTGAAGAGACCACTTGAAGAGACGGCACTTTAAAACAGTGGGGTAAAGCACTTTCAGGCCATCATAGAAACAAACACCCCAGTAAAGTTCTGAATGTATGCACATGACCTTAACCTGCTGATTTGTTATCCTGTGCTGCTTCTTGAGGAATCAAAAAGCAAAAATAATAAACCCCTAATTCAGGTTAATGGGGCAGGACAGACAGTCTAGAATACGTGCATACAAAAACAGGTGCAAAAACATCTGTACAAATTTTTGCTAATTAAAAGAGTTTTCCTTATTTTCCCAAAGAGGGCCCATTTTCAAACCACTTCCTACAACAGACAAGCTTTGTTCCAAGGAGTACACTTAAGAAAGGCTCTTTTAGGCTAGCTAGCCAGACCGTGTTGGGCTCTTGCACATAAGGCAAGGAAATGAACAATGCGATCCCTGCATCCAACTGTTCAGTATAAGCAACTGGCAGTTTTAATAAATAATGTCACTCTTAGATTCCATCAGGAACAACTAATTATATGGCTTAGAGGAACAGTGGGCTGTGTGATCCTCTGTAATGTTTCCTCTCTCTTTAGATTTTTGGAAGCATAGAAAGGGGACCTGCATATGCATGAATGAAAAACTTGTCTTATTTTTGTGTGTGTGTGTGTGTGTGTGTGTGTGTGTGTGTGTGTGTGTGTGTGTGTAATAAATTCATAATAATAGAAGTTCTCTCATCTCCTGGAACAGACTGGGATGCAGTTGCCATTCCAACTGGTCGACTGTGGGCCTGCTCAACCAGTCTGCTTGCACATTGGAAACTCCTGAGATGTTTTCTGCTCGCAGGGACAACAGGTGTCTCTCTGCCCACCTGCACAACCGAGTCGCCTCCTGCATTAGAGATCTGGAGCGAGTGTCCCCCTGCCGGTTTGTGTGGGCCTTGGTGGCCAGATTGTCTGTGAGGAGAAAAACCTGTCTCCCCATCACCTCCTGCCTTAGATCCTTGAGAGTTACGTGGGCAGCCCTGAGCTCTAGCCAATTTATGTTGTGGGCGAGCTCCTCCCGTGACCACCTAACCTGGACTCCCAGGTGGGCCCCCCAACCATACAGACTGGCTTCGGTGGTGATGGTAATCCTCTGGGACTCCCTGTACAAGCAACCCTGATCCATGGCTCGGGAGTGCCACCAATGGAGAGAATAAAGAACCAGCAAGGGGACGTGAACCCTCCTTGGTGAGTCGCCCCTGCCCGCCTTCTGGTAGGGGAGCAGGAACCACTGCAGAGGTCAGGCAGGAAGCGGGCCCTGGGATGATCCCGATGCACGATATCATCTTGCTGAGAAGTTGAGACAGCAAGACAGAAATAGGCACCTCTCTGTCAGACAGGATCTGTGATGTGATGTCCCTTATACTGTCTCAACGCTCCTGTGAGAGAAAGACCTGGACAGTTAAGGTGTCTATGATAGTCCCCAAATGCAAGAGATGGTTCGATGGTACTAGGTGGCATTTGTCCAGGTTTATCAAGAACCCATGCTCTCGAAGGATCCTGACTGTCGACATCATATCCTCCTCTGCCTGGGGTCTGGAAGAGGATGCTATCAGGATGTCGTCTACATAGTATAGGATCCTTATGGGTAAGGATCTGAGGTATGCCACTACGGCTGCCAGGAGCTTGGTAAAAGTCCGTGGGGCTGATGACAGGCCGAACAGGAGAGCCCTATATTGAAAATGGCAGCCGCCATAGCAAAACCTCAGGAACTGACGGTGGTTGGGGTCTACGGGCACATGGGATGTAGGCCTCTGTCGGGTCTACCGAAGCCAAAAAAATCTCCCTCCCGCAGGCCCTGTAGGATAGAGTGGAGGGAGTGCAATTACAATTAGTTCAAAATATAGTGACTCAAATAACTTCTGGCCTCCTGGAGGTGAAAACATACAACATTTGGTTTTCCAGACCTTGACTTGGTTGCCTATTGGTTTTCAAGTTTTCAACCTGTAAAGCCCTTTATGACTTGGCATCTGGACACCTGCAGGGCTGCCCACTCAAAACCAGTAGTGTGTGCTTCTATGAAACAAAGGTGAAGCAGATGCTGACATTAAATTGGTGAAGGGGCTCTGCACAACACATAGCGAATTTCACTTAGTGGAGTCTTAGGATCAATATGCTGCTACCAAGGACGGTGAACTTCTGAATATTCCTTGGAAGAATGTCTAAGAAATTCCTTCTACAGAGCATATTCTGGAGAAAGAAGTCTGCTCCATCATCAGGGTTTGGAGAAACAACCTAAAGGTTGAGGATACCTACATAACTATCTGCAATTTATTACCACCTGACAGGAAAGCACACAGGAAAAACCAGTTTAAAATCATTACTATAGCATACCCAAAGGTGGTTTTTCAAGAGGCAGCTGGACTTTCTGGTTTTTCTTTGAAGAAGTTTCACTTCTCATCCAAGAAGCTTCTTCAGCTCTGGCTGGCTGGTGAGGAATGGAAGGATTTATACTTCTTGCAGACAGCTAGTCATTTGCGTTCTAGAGTAGAGTTCTTTCGTCTTCAAAACCAGAAAGTCCAGTTACCTCTTGAAAAACCAAATTTGGAACAATGATC